TGAATTTAAACTGCAAAGATGTATGTTTCAGAGATGAGTAATGAGCCTTAAATCCTAGCATTCTCACTGACCACAGGTATCCTGGCTTATATTATCCCCCTAATTATTCAATTATATTACATCCTTAAGGTTTCCCATTGCTGCCTATGCATAGAAGCCCTCAGTAAATGGACGCCTGGTTGTGGGGAACCCACAGTCTCTCCATCAGCTCCATGAATCTCTCCAGCTTCTCAGTGTCTCTGAGCCCCAGGGACAGAAAAGCATCATCTCAACACTCTGTCTTCTTTGTCTCCTTGAAGGTCAGGAAGCCAGAAACCCTCAGGGCCAAAGGCACCACCCACCGAGTACAAGGAGTCCATCCTTACAGGACCTGAACCCTGTGGTCACTTTCCCAGGTCTGTGCTTGTCTCCATCCCTAAAGAGGGTAACACCAGACGCTCATCCATGCTCTCATCTCACACCAGGATTCTGTACCCTCACTGGGCAGGTCCCGCTCTGCCATGGTTCAGGGGAGCAGTGGGGTCCAGTGGGGAGAGGACATCCCACATGCTGGGCTCACTTTTACCAGATGTGGAAACTTGGAAAAACTTCAAACCTCCTTATGATTCTGTATTTTGTTATTGAAATGCTTTCATGGCACAGAACTCCTTATATAGCAGGAGGATATGCAAATAGAGCCCTATTTGCTCATTAAAAAACAGCCCAGCCCTGAGCCTGAAGCTCTGGGACAGGAGCCCAGCCCTAGGATCCCAGGTGTTCCCATTCCTTGAACAGGACTGAACACAAACCACTCACCATGAGGTTTGGGCTCAGCTAAGTTTTCCTTGTGGCTCTTTTAAGAGGTAATTTATGGAGAACAAGAGACACTGAGTATGTGAGTGGGCATGAGGAGGGAAACAGTGGAAGTATGAGTGTTATCCTGACCAGGACGTGTTTGTGTTTGCAGGTGTCCAGTGTGAGGTGCAGCTGCTTAAGTCTGGGGGAGGCTTGGTGCAGTCTGGGGGGACCCTGAGACTCTCCTGTGCAGCCTCTGGATTCACCTTCAGTAGCTCTGACATGCACTGGATCTGTCAGACTCCAGGGAAGGGGCTAGAGTGGGTGGCACTTATATGGAATGATGTAAGTCAGAAATACTATGCAGACTCTGTGAAGGGCTGATTCATCATTTCAAGAGACAACGCCAAGAATGCACTGTAACTGCGAATGAACAACCTGAGAGCCAAGGACGCGGCCTTGTATTACAGTGCAAGAAACATCCTGAGGGGAAGTCAGTGTGAGCCCACACAAACCTCCCTGCAGGAGGAGCTGTGACCACCAGGGGGCGTTCAGGGTCCCTGAACACAAGGACCATTCCAGCAGCAGGTGCAGTTGGAGGTTTGGGCCGGCTTCCTGTATGGTTTCCCCTTCATGTCACAGTTTCCCTCAGGGAACCTCTGGATTCCTGACTCTGTGCTTACCTCTGATGTCTCTGAGTTAGAAAGTCTGTAGTGAATAGAGACAACTTTTTCATGTGGAAGAACCACTTTCAGGGTCCCTTAACACAAGGACCATCCCAGCAGCAGGTGCAGTTGGAGGTTTGGGCTGGCTTCCTGTGTGGTTTCCCCTTCATGTCACAGTTTCCCTCAGGGAACCTCTGGATTCCTGACTCTGTGCTTATCTCTGATGTCTCTGAGTTAGAAAGTCTGTAGTGAATAGAGACAACTTTTTCATGTGGAAGAACCACTGAAAGTCTCTTTCAGACAATCTATTGCCCAAATAATAAACATCATATCTTCTGACAAAGGTTCCCCAATTCTAACCAGAAGCTCTGCTGACTCAACAGTGCAGCTCAGCCCCACACAGCTCAGGGTTCCAGGCAGCCAGCAGGACATGTGTGTGCTGGACAAGGGGTACCAGAGTCATGAGACCCCAAAGCTAGAGAAGAAGGACCCTGATTGTGAAGGTCATTGACTTATCATCTCCATAGCACTGAGAGTAGGTGACACCAGGGCAGCATGGTGCAGATGTCTAGACTGATGATAAACACTCACCCAAGGGGACATGGAATGTTTATTATGCACATAGTTGAAATCCCTGAAAAGCATAGGAAAGGCCCTTCAGCAAGTCATACCTGCTCTGATGGAGGTAGGAAAGGAGACTGGCTTGGAGATTTATGTTGTTGAGCTGATGGGGGAGGAGGAGGAATTCTGCTTCCAGGGGTTTGTGTGGTTTCAATCTCACAATGACATCTAATGGCAGAACCATGACTTTTTTATCTGATTTCTCGTGTGTGGCAGATGGAGATGAGGCAAAAATAAGCCATCAGTTGTCAGGAGTCAAAAATGAAATAGAGTATGGCAACCTATTTTACTTAACAACTATACAAAATGAGCAAAAAATTACATAAAATGCCATTATGTATGTCCAAACACCAGGTCTACAGAAAATTAGAAGAATAGTAATTAAGCAAATAAGGATGAGAATGATATAGAAAATCATGATGATGACTGTGATGGAGGTGGTGATGATGATAATAGAATGGGGAAGAGGTTATGGTCCAATGTCTTGGCCAGAATCTGTAGTTTATACAAGGTCAACAGATTTTAGAAGGCCTTGTGTCAACATAAATCTGAATCTTTGGGACTTTAATTTCCCAATGACATCGAAATAGGAGATGCATGCTTTCTTTTCCTATAAAAAGTCATTCTGTGTAGACAAGCATCGTGCCTACTGAAAATGAGTAGAACGATTATAACTAAGCAAGTGGTAATGATGGCGATGATGATGATGATGATGATGATGATGATGATTATGGTTAAGATGATGACAATTGACTAAGAAAGGGTCCTGGTCCAGTGAAATGATAGCTCCTCAAAAAGACACACCATCACCATGGCTCCTCCAGTGTGGAGTGTTCACTCTTTGTTGCCACTGTTGAGAGATTTCATAAATGGGACCCAAATGAATTATGCAGCTTGAGTGATTCAGGGTGAAACCATGTGAGTAATGACCCTAAAGGTGCCCAAGTGCTGGATCCCCTGGACCTGGGAATGTGTTACCTTCTACAGCAGAGACACTGTGAGAATGTGCATGTAGGAAATAGGGGTCCCCTTCCCACCAATGTGCAATGACACGTTCCTTATTTCTGTTGATCCCTATCTGCATGATCTTTAACATTTCTATTTCTTGCAAACTCCTGTTCATCATTATTCAGGTATTTCCTATGATAGCACAAGCTGTTTCTATCATGCCCTGTTCTTCCTTCTGGGCCTTCACTGGAGGAAGCTTTAAACCCATATGTCCAGTAACTCTCTGTCCATGAACATCAGGCATATTCCTGTCATGTGATTCAAAACAAGGCCAGATTCCTCCCCTCACCCAGTTCCACCGTCACGTCCAGACTTATGGGTAGTTTCCCGGAAGTGCTCCCCTCTGGTACCAAAACCTGCTCTAGTCCCTGTGGCTGCTGTAGCTAATCCACATGGACAGTGGAGGCTCAGCATTTTCTGGGGAGTTCTTTTTTAAAATAACCCAAAACAAGTCCTATTAAAGAAAATATTATTACATTAACCTTGGTCAAAATTAAAGTCTTTTGTCTCATCACAGGTTTCATTGAACAAATTAAAATATAAACCTAATGAATATATTTCCAAATCATATGTCTGAAGGCAGAATTAATAAATTATACATTAAGGATATAATATGTATGTGAGAGACCCCAGAACCCTCTGACCACAGTGGCCGCCCAAGGGAAGGGCAGAAGGAGGCTGGAAGTGAGGGATTTCATTCAGGGTTGAAGTTTCCTTTCCTATGAGAAATGCTATGGTAGGAATTCTTTTCACTCACCTCCTTCTGAATCCCAACATCACTGATAACACTAGGCTGAGAAAACAGGTCTAACTCCTTCCATGATCATTTCAACTTATGAATGTTTCAGAGTTCTGCACATACATGATCACTGCTTTTATTTTGTGTCTTTTCTCCACTTAAAGCCATGGCTATTTCTGATGTAACTAGTTTGGGGTCTCAGCAATAGGCCATGGGCATGCATATCAAAAGTTTTGCATATGAAGCTTTAGACACAGTCACAAAATTCGCAACATGAAGCATTACAAATGTCTCACCTATTTGTGCTTGGGAGGTAAAATCATAAATTAAGATATAGGATATTGAGAATGGCTTTCCTTTATTTTTATTTATTTCAAAACGGTATGAATTATTTCTATAAAGTTAGAACAAAAAAATGGAAATTTTGGATACTCTAGGGCTGTGGTCGTCAAACTGTGGCTTGCGAGCCACATGCAGCTCTTTGGTCCCTTGAGTGTGGATCTTCCTAAGCCTTAGGAGTACCCTAATTAAGTTAATAACAATGC